TGAGTCAGAGCCCTGTAAACTGAAGTGTCTGTCTCAGAGGGTAACTACCACATGCAACCGAACTGAGCAAAAGGAAACGGCAACAGGAGAGAGAGGTAGTGACTAAACAGCATGGGCACGTTCCCCTTAGAGCCGAAAACCTTAAAGCTTTACCTGAGAGTTTAAGCTACACATCCTTTCCGTAAAAGTCTGTCTCATTTCCGAGTAAGTGCCCCAGCATTTACCCTTTACAACACTGCGCCTTCGAGTACTGCTACCAATTCCCTTTGCTCGAAAATTTGGTCAAACAGTGATTTTGAAACACTTCCTTCTCCAACACAAATAGGTCAACCGGATTCAAATCTAAACGAAGGACACAATGCTACTCTCTAAATTGTGAGTTTTCCAGCAAAACCCATACCTTACTTGATTCCCTACAATCTTTCTTTTCCAGTTTGAATATAAACTGAAAAGTTGTTGCAGAGTAAAATAACGCTTTTGCCTGAAGTCAGAAAAGTTATTAGGAGCAAAATCACCCCCCACTGGGCATGCCCGGAATTCCGGGGGAAATCAGCTTTCGTTGTTCTACAGCCCAGACCAGATGCTCTGAGGTGGCCAGGAACCTTAGTCTACGCCCACTTAGCAGATTTCTGGCTTTCTATCAGGGACTAAGAGGTTTATTTGCAGAAATGGATCATTTCCTTCTAAATATCCTTTACCCTATTTACATGCCTGCATATTCCTTCTATGTTGTTTTCCCCCTACAGCTTTACTAAGGGAATTAATTATCTAGAAGAACAGGAACATACAGTAAGTACATCTGAGATACAGGATGAGACACAGTATGTCATCTATTAGGCCTGGCTAAGACCAGCAGCTGATGCTAAATGGGAAGGAACATGCACCAAATGTTTTTTAATCACAAAGTTAGTAATTAATTGCTCTTTAAAATACATTTTATGCTTCTTTCTGTCTGTGTACATGAAATGCACATTTATTACATGCCAAAAATTACAGCATTATGGTTTAAATGTGATTGGCACGGAAGTCCGGAAATCAGCGTTAATGTTCCCACAGCAACTTTAATTCCGACCGTGTGCACATGCGGGCTGTAACGGCCTCCGCTCCAGGATCATACATATAGATGGTCTGGGCGGGAGGCTAACGACCCATATCCTCAACTGTAGTTACAGGAAGAAAACAAAGGCCATCAGCTGCGCGCCTTTCCACGTGTGTGGATAAAAACAATGTCCCTGTGCCCCGCGTTGTGTAATCAGAGATGAAAGAATCTGCTGTGAGGCCGGCACTTAGGGGGACAGTTTCTGTTGCTGTGGGAACCCGGACTTTGCACTTCCTGACTTTGGGGTAATTAAAATGTCAGCCTTAATGTGGCATTAATGGAGCTTGCCATAAAAAATCCTTTGTTTTGTTCTCTAAAAAAATTGCTTAAAAGTTCAAACTGAACCAAGTGTACTAAAAATTTTAATCTCGGGAACTTGGACGGGTGAAGCAAAGGGTTGGGGGTAGGGAGGCCAATGGAAGTGGATGGTAGGAAAGAGAGGGGCGAGCCCAGGAGTCTCCTGGCCAGCGTTTGGCCCCAGCAAGTCATGCTACCTGCAGAGCTAAAGTTAACCCCACCCACACAACACTTTGGTAATGTGCAAAGGTTAAATTAAAAATAAACAAAAACTGTGAATGCGTAAGTGCATCTTGGCAAGGACACACAAAAGTAAGGCAGTCTGATGAGTCCAGTGCAAAACATGGGAAGGTAAGCAACCACGGATGCCAGCTCCCAACAAAAGAAAGACAGCAGCATCCTGAGCCTACAGTCAAAAGCAGGAGCACTGCCCCAGGGAGGAGGCACCCCTCCACTCCTTCAAAGGGGCGCTTATTTTGGGGCAAGTGATATGGGAGAAATATGCAAGTGATAGTTCGGGTGGCCTCTGTCACGTGTACATGACTGTGCTAGGCTACAGCTTGCTATTTGACAAGAAAGGTCTTTCACTTAGAGAGCCTTGCCTGCTCTCCTGACGTGGTTTAGTCCTGTTTCAGCATTTGAAGGGAGAGCCTATTCAGTTTTGTATCCATTTTAAACCTTATCTCAGTGCCTTCCATTGTCATCATCTGAGTTTGAAACGGTAAAGAGGTGACAAACTAGGAGGTAATGGAGGAGTATACTAAAGGAAATTGTTAGTGTGAGTAATAGTAACCTTAGGACTAATTTAACCTCATCATCTCACAACAGAAGGCGCTTCTCAACCATATTCCTTCTTAGTTTGAACATTCCTGGGATCTTTGGCCAAATCTGAAGTGGCCGGGCAGTTACATAGTCAATTGAGAATGTCAGGGGTCAGACTTATCCTCTTCCCTCTACAATTTGGCCTGTGCCCTTCAGAGGCAATGACGCTGTGGCCTACCCACCCTTACTGGTCCATATTCAGAGCTGACTTCTTCTGTGGGGATGTTTATATATCGTGTTTTATAACCCACTCACCAAAATAAGTAGTTGCACATTTTCAAGATGCCCGTTTACAGCCTGGAATGCCATCTCTAGGCTTGGAACAAAGAATCCAGGCTGCCCACAGTGAGAGCAAAGCCACAGACATCCCTCAGTATCTGAATGAGTTAATTACGAGCAAGTCCTTCATCTGTCTGTCAGTTTTCTCATCTGTACACTGGGAAGAATTATACTGACTGACAGGAAATGGGCATTAAAGCATGACTAAGAATCATTTTGCTAAACACATGACAAATGAAACAGTACTGTAAAAATTCAGGCACCTGTGCAAGCTGGGCATACCACATGCTGGCGGATGTTTCCAAAGTTAAAGAGATAACAAGTCAAGGGCACTGTTTATAAATGCCCCAAATCTGTTAGTTCGAAATAGGAACTGAATATTTCACCTTAAAGAAATTAGGCTTTTAAATTAATCTAAGGAAAGAATGACATTTGAAAGTAAAAAGAAAAGAAAAAATCCTCTTGAAAGCAAGAACATCCAAAACTTTAACAGCTTAAAATAAACCTCTTTCCTATCTTCTCTCCAAATGGCCAGATTTCTGCGAGTTCTTCCTAAAAACAATTGTCTTCGAAGTGTAAGCTCAACTCAGGACAAACTACAATCCGAATATATTTGGAGAAAAGCAGAATCAATTAAACAACAGGTTGGAGCAGAGAAGACTTTCACATCTTAATGGCAAAATCAAACTGACTTCAAACAGCTGGAGATTAGGTTTCTCCTCCCTGTTCGGACACCCTACTGACTGGCCTCCTCGTCGCTGGGAACTGTACGGCTACCATGCTTGTTCAGTTCCTTGCACATCTCCCATGCTAACGCCAAGGCCTGCTCAGAGGATGCTTATAGGAAAGTACAATAAATGGAGCCCAGTGCCTCCTCTAGTTAGAAAAACACTTTGCTGCAACAGGGGATTTCTGGTCGAAGGCCATTCTATGTAATCTTCCCACAAGGTCTGGCAGCAAGCCAGGCGGGAAGGTCTGCACGCAGGAGCTCCAGGCCCTTGGCCACAGGAACAGGCTACCCTCCTAGTAGGCAGGGACAGTGCGCACATGTCTACGGGCACTGTGCCACACTGTTTTCCAATCCTTCCTGTAATTACTATTGGGCTGGAGACTGCCAGGCAAGAAGGGCCAAGGATGTTCCTATTACAATGGCCAGCAGAACACAGTCCCCGCTTCTGACCCCCAGGTTTCTCCAGAGAGGCGGCCACTTTGTACAAATTACTCTGGCTGTGGAGATCTGGATCTCCTTATTCTCATTTCATTTTCTCGGGGCAGCTGGAGTGTGGTCTCAGAACCATCTTCCTTCACCCCAACTCCACCCCTGGGTCTTGTCCCTCTATCTAGAGACTATTATGATGAAGCGAGGAAGGAATGCAATCTCTTGCAGGAATGAATTCACCTCTGGCCCTCTTTGCAGAATTTTGCATTTGTTTTGCCAGAATAATGACACTAGGAAACTTAGAATGTCATTTCCTAATTAATAATTTTTGTCTTTGTGGAAAGAATAAATGGAGTCTTTTTTTTTTTTAAATAAGACTTTTTTTTTGGTCATTTTAAAGAAGAATACGCCAGATTTCCCTAATGGAGATAAGATCAGAATAGTTGTTAGGTACTTCAAGACTAAAAGGAATATTCTTTGGGATTGGAACCCAAAGTTTTCCCATTACTTTCCTTTGTTAACACACATATATCTTTCTCTTTCAAGTATTGGGTTACATTGCAAAAAGAGAAAAAAGTCTCCTAAATGTGATTTATCAACTTTCTTAAAATAGAATTTAAAGAAGTGACTCCCAGATTAGTGAGAAGACAGCAAAAATAAACAGCAATGGAGTGATTTTAATAGCGACGATCTCATTAAGCTGCCCATTTCCAAATTTAGCCCGTAGGCAGTTTTTTTAATTAAAAAATATTTTTAACCTGAGTTTCTATTGGCTACGTGAGGCCTGGGTGGCTTCTGAATTCTTGGAAGCCATTCTCTTTTCCTCTGTAAATTTATGCTATCCTTTAACCACTTCAAAATAAATTAAAAACTGGAAAGACAGAAATTCAGCCAAGCTACATGAGACTCCAATAACTAATGCAAAGCTGATTTGTGTTAAGTAATTTCAAAATGGATGTTTCCTTGCATCTAACTGGCCGTATGAGATCCACATTTGGCTGCTCAATTAAGTCAAGGTGGAAAGTGCCCTTATTCCGATCCCGGGGACAAAAGAATTAGCTACACAACTTCACAACTTCTTTTTTTGAGTTAATGTTATGGGAGATGATGTGGTTTCTGTGTAATTAATCATCCTTTTGAGGCCAAATGGCTGGTCACCTGGTTTTAACATCCCGTTTTGAAAATAGAGATGTTGGCTGAAACAAAATGGTGGCAAGTGATTTTTGGCTACTTTAGACCGAATGGAAACAGCCTGCTCTGAGGGCCACTGAGCCAGAGCCAGAGCCAGGGGAGAAGCCCGCTCCACGCCCCGAGAAGACAGCGCCACTGTACTGGTGTACTCACAATCAGATGACCCGGTGTGAGCGTGAGAGTTTGTCAGTGAACGTGTTGAGTGGATGAGGGCTGGGTCTGGAGACAAAACAGCTTCAAAGTTCAGGCAGGGAAGGCCCGGCTTGGCGCTGGATCCACCCGGCTGAGTAATCTCATTCTCCTCAGATGCCTTCTGGTTTTCAGCTGTCTTGGGTTTCTTCCTGAAAATAAACAAAGGGCCCTTTGAAGGAACTGAATGCATATTTGGGAAAAGGCATTTTTAGAATCTGTTAAAGATAACTTGATTTTTTTTTCTGAGGGGGGATGGGAGGGAGTCCAGTATGTCCCTTGTTTTAAAACAAGCTGAATCTTGTTTTTTCTTTTTCTTTTCCCTCCAGTAATGGCCTAACTGGGAACACATGAAAGCATATGGGCCAAGCAAACAGCACCACATTTGGACTCCGTTGGCTGCATAAAAAGACCCTGTCCCGGAACTTTAGACAGCTTGAGCTACGTATGGCTGACATTATCCAAGAAGGCATCCTTTTTCCCCCTTCAGAGTTTTAACATGGTCTGGAAAAATACTAGTGGAGGTTTACCGTTCTAGCATTTGTCAGGAAGCTTAGAGACAGGACTCGTGGAGTAATGGGAGGAGCACTGGACTGGGAGTCAGGAGACTTGAGCTATGGTACTAGCTGTGCCTCTAACTTGCTGTGTGGCCTTGGGCACCTCACTTCACCTCTCTGGGCTTCAGTTTCCTCATCTGTAAAATAAAGGGCTTGGATTAGAAGGCCTTAAAGGTTCCTTCCAGCTTTAATTTCTCTTCATGGAACACATTATGAACATTCAACTTTTTTGCAGTTTTATTAGGTTTTATTTTAGATCAATACATAATTTCAAATCACAATCTAAATGTTCAGGCTGTACAGATGAGAGGGGTAGTAATGGAGGTTTTTGTTAAGGTAGCAAATGGACAGTGAAAAGAAGAGCTTAGATTCCATAGGTAGAGGGAAGGTGTCACTGGAGATCCTCTATTCCAAACTCATTATTCACCCAAAGCTTGAGATTCCCCCCCTTTTTTTTTATTTAGTGCATGAACTGCTTTTTAACAAGTTTATTTATTGATTTTTAGAAAGTGAGAGCAAGAGTGAAAGAGAGAAACATCGATTTGTAATTCCTCTTGTTTATGCATTCATGGTTGATTCTTGTATGTGTCCTGACCAAGGATCCTGCTACCTTGGCGTTACTGCGATGACACTCTGAGCAACCTGGCCAGGGCTTCATGACTCTTGGTATAGGAATGTGACAGGGTGTTTGGGATGTGATGAAGAGATTGGTAAAGGGAATTAGAAAGTAATTATTGCTAATAGTTATTTGGGGTTAGGAATAGGAAGCAAAAGCTAAGTTATTGATCAGGTCCAGTCTTCACTCCCTTGGACAATGCAACTGATATAAACAAATAAATGCTTAACTTAGACTACACATACCCTAGGTCTCAGTCAAATTGAATTATTAATCATACCCTGAAAATTCTCCCCAATTTTCTTGGCTCTGTGCTTCTAGAACTATATGCATGGTGACCAGAGAAAGTGCTTTCTTTTTGGTCGAAGATCATGTGTGGTACATACTCTGTTGTAAGTCCAGTTTCCATGTTTTCCTTATTTCTATAAGCGTAGCAATGAACTTGTTACTCAGAATATCTTCTCTTGGGATTTGCTGTGCGGGGCAGTTAAATCTGCCCTCACAGAATATGGTGTTCTGATTAGCATGCTGTGTTTCTGGTCCAGTTGGCTGTGAAATAAATCTGCTTTTCCAGAGGGCAGGAGGCAGAGGTGGGGTGGCACGGATGAAAACAGAGGGAAGCTTTCAGACATATTTTTCAGGATGGAGGAAGCCAATGTAAGAGAAGGAACAAATTGTAGCGCTTTACCCACTGTTTTTTGAGTGGGTAACTGTGGAACTAACCCCCAGATTCTGAGTGTCTACATGGACCTGCAATGACCAGGTTTCTAGGTTTTAGTTTAATGAGGTCCCCAACTCCTTTCTTTCCCTAAGAAAACCAGCAGCTCCTCTAAGGTCCTTATTTCTATTACTGCTGTCTGTCCCCAGGTTGGAAACCCCAGGGTCACACACCTTCCTCTGCCTTAAAGTCAATTCATCAAGTCCCGACAATTCTGCTTCCTTTATATATTATCATCCGTGTTTCCATTCCATTTCCATTGCAATCGCCCGAACACTTTTTATTTGGAATGTTGCTCACTTCCTGGCTCTCTATTCTCCTTGACTCCTAGTCTCACTTCTTGGCATTCACTAAATCTGAGGTGACCACATCAGCCTGACCCTATTCTACCTTAGCTCACATGCCCTACATGTTGGCCATCTTGAACTCTCAAATTTTGTGAATATTTCCAGAATGCCCTGGGGAATCTTCATCCTTGATCAAGTTATTTCTCTTGCTTTGAATGCCCCTATTTCAACTCTATTGAAATCCTATTTACCCTTTATATTTATTAAATGTTGTCTCCATCTTATAACTGTCTTGATTTCTCTCTGCCAGATAAGACCTTACTCTCTGTCTCTCAAATTCTTCTTCCTCCTATTTTTCTTTGAAACACCAAACACTTTTTCCTTATTTTATTTTACTTACTCAATTTTGTTGCAATTATGTACTTATTAGAGGCCTGGTGCACGGATTCGTGCACTGGTGGGGTCCTTCGGCCTGGCCTGTGGGGATCAGGCCGAAACCGGCTCTCCGACATCCCCCGAGGGGCCCTGGATTGCGAGAGGGCAGTTCTTGGGTGACACACCCCAGAATTGGGCTCCCTCCTCTCTGGTTCCAGGTGCATCACCTGAGAACCACTGCTGCCAAGACACCGCTGCTCAGCAGCTCCTGTGTTGAGTGTCTGCCCCCTGGTGGTCAGTGCGTGTCATAGCTACCAGTCGGCTGGTCAGACGGTCACTTAGGCTTTTATATATATAGATTATCCCTCCTCTAGGACACTGTAAACTCTGAGGGTTAGGAAATGTCCTTGTTATTATTGAATTCTCTGTGTTCATGCACTTTCCCCCTCTTCCTTCCCTCCCACCATTCATTTATTCATGTATTCTTTTCCAAATACTTGTTATGTGGCTATGGTGTGCCAGCGTGGGTTAGGGAATAGAACAAGCCTGGTTTCTACCTTCCCAGTGTTTGCTGTCTAGTGTGTACTGTTAAGCCAATAGCTTAGACACAGCATAATTCAATATATACTTGTTGATAGAATGAAATGGTGAATAAATTAAAGTATATTTTGAGAATAGTCATAGTCTGAATCCCAATTAAGTTTGCTACTCTTTATACAGCAGTGAAATCTACCTTGAATGGCTGCTTTTACTTTGAATCCATGAAGGGCACTCGGTAGGAGTAGGGACATTTTGCTCACTAAAGTTAGGCTGCTCCTCATGATTCATTTAGATACAGGGATGAAATACTAATGACAATCACAACAGAAAAAATATTTATCCTGGCTGCTCTTAGCAAGGCCTACACTAGTTTCAGATGTGAGCTTTCAGAATTAAGGAAGTTCTTTCAAAAATGAGCATATGGCCAACATTACTCTTTTATTTTTAAGATTGCACAAATTGTATTATTCTTTATAAAAATGCCCTTGCTTCCTTCCCTAGATTTCACCCAGCTTCCTACCTGATATCTTGCACCACACCCTCCTACTTGTTATCTTAAGGATCACCTTTGGGGTACATTCAAAACAAAGAGGCATTGGGGTCATCTCTATGAACAGAAAGTACTGAAAACTGAACCTTAATTGGTTCATACCCCCATTTGCCTAATATCACTTTACTTGTCTGTATGCCATTAGGCTGTTTCCCAGCTGCCAGAGAGCAGAGAGCCACTCAGTGTTCTCAGAAGCAATTCATTCCCATCCCACCTTCTCTGAAGGTCCTTCTGGACTCCTTTATCCAGAGTTGAGTAACACTGAAATATAGCCTCAGTCTATGTCTACAAATACACAGGTGGGTTATTCTGACCCTATTTTTTCAATTAATAGTTTACTAAGAAGGAAAAAGCAAGTCCTATAGTAATTCATTTAAAATACCTTCTTTGGTTGTGTGAAAAATAATTATACAAACAGCACATCTGAGGACCAGTCTCTTTCAGCCCCTGTGGCTCTGCATTCCCGCCCGGAGCCATTAGAGGGCAGCAGCACACTGGCTGGCTCCCGGCAGCCTTTTGGAGAGGCACCTCCCCACCAGACCAGAACCTTCCTCTCCTGGTCACCATGCCAAAGGTTGCTTTGCCAAGCTCTGGCCGCTAGGCCTCTTTCTTTCTTTTCAGCGCTCTCTCCCTCTCTCTCTCTCCCCGCTACCCCACTCCCCTTTTCTCTCTCCCTCCTTCCCTCCCTCCCAGTGTTAAAATTATACACTCTGATGAAGTCGCCCCTCAACCGGAAAATGAAAGCTCCAATGAAAAAGTTAGACAAGCCAACAATAACAAAGAAAGAAACTGGGAGAAAGGGGAAAGGGGGCTGGTGAGGGGGAAGGATTTAAGAACAAGAAAAGGGCAGATGTTTTGTAAATATATGCAAAGCAAAACTGGGTGTACCCTGAACACTTCCACCGAGAAACAGACCAATCATTGTGCACTTCCTCCCGCCACTCTGGTGGGAGCTCTGCATTAAAAAAAAAAAAAAAAAAAAAGTGTGGCTGCAGGCACCTGCCTTTCAACGGTTAGTTCTGACATCCTGACTGAATATCTCCCAATTGTCCAAGGAGAACAAAACCATTTGATCTTCCCACTGCAAACATTTCTGTTAAGAGAAAAAGACTGCTTTAAGGCTGGGAAGGCATTCTAAGGTGACTGGCAGTTGGGTTAGCCAGCGGGCCCTTCTGGTTTTTAACTCTCACTGTGCTGGCCCTGGCAACAAGTTTTGGACTGAAACATAGCAGTGAGAAAGGCTGTGGAGGATGTTGGCTCTTTCCTTACTAGACCATATTGTATGTGGAAGGAAATATGCATTAAAACATATTGATGAGATGTAGGTATCATGCATGTGAAATGCATGGAAATTAACCAGAGAGGCGGCATTTCACGTATACATTTCACACTTCTTCGCACACATTGCGCACATACAGTGATGGCAGTGCTTTCTACAACATATGGAAAATAAATATTTTATCTGTGTGAGCTCTTATCAGTCTCCAGGGGCTTTGGAGAGCAGAGTGCTCTCTTCTATCTCCCTCTCCCAATTTTCTCTCCGCCAGGCTCCCCCTCTCCCGCACATTAAGCGTGCCTTCCACTCACCAGCCTGCTTGGATCGGAAAGAATTAGTGAGAACCTCCTCTGGATGAATAATTACTCAGTCATTAAATCATGGTCATTTAGACCAGTGATGCCCCGCCCCCCCATCTTTTTGGACTTGTAACCATTTCCTTACGCTCCTTCCCAACAGTGCCTCGGGGACGGCTTAGGGAATGTTTGGGTTTGGGGGCAAAGGGCAGGTGGAAACAAGGCACCCAGTGAGAGTTGGTGGCAGGATTGTGTTCTACCACCTCGTAGCTGTGTGCCCTAGACAGGCCACTCTGCATCTCTGGGCCTCTGTTTCTTCACTGAAAAAGTAGAAATAATAATAATACCTTCTAGGGCTGATGTGAGAAATGAGATAATTCATGTCAAGTGGGTGGCACATCCTGGCACATGGTCAGTGCCCAGTGATGGTAGCTCTTTTCACAGAGAGTGTCATTTCTATGGTTCTGTCTTTTCTGCTATAACAGAGCACTTCCTTTATGTTAGTAATCTTTTTTGTTCAGTAATCTTTTTTAATATATAGATTTGGGCAGAGGCAAATGGGCTGTAATTGTAGCAAAGGTGGAAAAAATGCTGGAACAAGCACCTCCTCTTGAGCGCTATGATCTCACTGTATTACCCTCCTGACACCTCCTGTCTGCTCACATTGGTCCTGCTGCTGCTGTACCAAGAGCTATTCTTCATGCTGAGGCTCGAACAGGCTACCCTTGGCCTATGGAAGCCCATCAAACCTGAGCACCGTGGTCTATTCATTAAAACCAACCTTTGGCACTCTCTCATCATGTGTTCTTACAATTTACTCTTTCACTACTTGGTCTAATGTTCTCATATCAATTTAAGATGTTTTTGTGATTAAAACATTTTATTCTCTCTCTTTTTTTTAAACTTGCTTGGCAAGGCTGACTTACAATGTTTTTCAGTGTATATCTCCCCCACTCTATCAGGCAGGATCCTGGCAAGAAACAGATGGTACACTCAAAGGTTTGAACTGAAGAGAATTCAATGAAAGGATTATACTGAGGTTCATATGAGGTTAAGGGACCCTCAAGGGATGGTGAGCATCAGGGACTAACAGCGGTGGGAAGCTGTTAAATCTCAGCTTTCAACTGTTACCCCGAAGGAGCAAGGAAAGGGGTGGCTGGGAAGGAGGCTGGGTTAATAATGCCTCGACCTCACTCTCCTCCCACTCTCACACCTCTTGCTGATCTCTCCTTTAGGTCAAAGTCAAGAGGGAGCCAGAAGAGAAGACAGCTGGGCAACGGAGTTCAGAAAGGTCAGCCTCTGGGCCACAAATCAAGGCAGAGAATGGTTCTGGGGTTTTGTTTGTGTCCATCGGGGATGGAGGGAGACTAATAGACATGTCTATTCTTTCCCTCTCCGTTTCTTCACCCTTTGCCTCTCAATCTTACTTTCTGGAAGGAAAGACACAGCAAAATAAAAGGGAATCAATTCTCTTTTAGTGTCCACCTACCTATTTTGTCTACTTGCCATTTACAGGAGAAGAAAACTGAGTGTAAGCTTGACGACAGCAGGTGCTGGTGTTTGTTTGCTGCCATAACTCTGCTGTCTAGAAGAGTGCCTGGCACATATTAGATGTCCAGTGAATTTTAGTCGACTGAGCAAATACACTCATCTCTGCTGGGCCAGACACTACATATACATTCTCTCATTTAATTTTCACAACAGTCCAGGCAAATAGGCTGGGCCACTGGGCATGCTCGTCCAGGTGGTGTGGGAGTGGGTAGGTTTTAAAATCTAACACTCACCCCCTTTATACCCACCCCCAAGCCTTGAGACCTGGCCCAGGGCATTGACAACCCACAGGAAGGGACACAGTTTTGTAATTAGTCCACATTTTTATACTTTAATCACCTTTTTGCTTTTTGCACCTAGCAGGTCACTCTAAGTTTTCGCATTATTTCTCTTTCATATATGAGGGAGCTGAGTTTCTGAAAAGCACAGGCTGCAAGAATGGGACCCAATCTGTCCGTTCTCTAGGACCTGTGAAATGTGAAAGCAGGCGCTGGCTTTCTGCTCAGGTGAAATACTTTCAATGGCAGAGCAGACGCTCACTTGTCGGCTGCCTGGTGATTTTCATGAAACCTTAGGTCCTGATTTCTGGGTCTGGATCTCGGCTCTATGCAGCACAGGGAGGTGGGAGTGGTGGAGACGCTCTCCTCTCCCAAAGGATACAGATACCTCAACACCTGCCTGCGTCCCAGTACTGCTGTGCTACCTGCACTGGCACAGTTATTCCGGGATGAAGAAAAACTCAGAGAAACACCTGATGTGGGAATCCTAAGGCACACCTTGCACTTGAACATGAGGATGAAGGAAGGTGCTCACACAAGTACGTTCCTTGCATAGGAAGGAAATGAAGAACTCTGTTTGATCTGGTGTCACATCTTCAGTTCCTAGTCACCTGACCCCATTGTACTGCAGAGCCCTCCGATGGCTCCCTCTCCATTTGGGCAGGTGGCCTGCCTGTCACCTGCACGTCCGCTACCATCAATCACAATTCAGGTGGCAAAGCATTCAAGGTATAAAGCAATACAACACAATACAAGACAAGACAAAAACCTCTGGCTTTATCCCTTTGGGTTTGATATTTGCCAGAATAGCTATAAAGACATAGAAAATGAAAATGTGAAAATCCTACCTGAAGCCTAGGAGGGGCGTTAGCCTCCCAGGCTTACCATTTTCCACTAACAGAGATGCCTGGAAAATATTATCCCATCACCTGCCTCACACCATATCGGAGAATTTGTGACTGATACATAGAGTAAGTTTTTGTTTCAAAGTGTGAAATTAGGTTATTTTGCATGCATAGCCTCTAAATACTGTAAATGCCTGGCTTTTCTAGTAAGAAGAAAATAAAATAACCCCAAATATTCATCTGTTATTTTTAGCAATGATTAATGAATACTTTATATCAATCTCTCATCAGTGTCTTCCTATAGGCATCCCACCTCCTACTCCAACATATTTCTGTACCGTGCCTTGCAAGAGCTGTACTGCTCCTACATACATGCCTGTTACAGAGGGAACTAAACCCAGTACACAGAGCTATGCATTCAGATGGCAGAGCTGAGCTAGATACAAAGGCTGAGAGATGTGGCCTTGGTCCCCGAGAGTAACAAGGAGGCAGCAGCACAGGCACAGAGATGCTCAGGCAACAGATAGAAATGGGCAAGGAAAGCAGGCCTGGATTTGACCAGGGTGGCATGAAGCTCCAGGGAGGTGCAGCAGAGTGTCACAGTGAGGTGGCGAGAGGCCAACAAGTTGGGCAGGAGCTGCCACTGCTTCAGGTAGAGGTGCAGATGAGCGAGCAGAGCAGCACCACTCATACACAGTGCGCTCAGGTCCAGCTAGGCGCAGCCCCTGGAGAGGAGGGCGCGATGCCGCCCAGGCGCGCACTACAGGTTGGAAGCTGAGAACCGCTGCAGGCGCCTCAGGACTGAGTCCGATTACCTCACTGCATCCAACAGGTGAAGCCATCTAAAATTTCATCTGCTTTTACAATTGTGTGTTTTGTTTTTTTTTAATTAAAGTGAACTAAGAGGCCTTTCATTGGAGGCATAATGTACTCACAGTAGTTTCCAAATAAATGGTGTCACTCTTCAGGTAAATCACTCCAAGGCTTGGGCCTAGTGCAGATGTTCATTGGGGCAGGGGGCAGAGCGCGGCTGCATCTAGATCAGAGGAGAGACAAACAAAAATCAGGCTGTTAAGTGGACAGGTCATGGCGATCATTTCTTCGGATAAACACAGAACAGCAGGACTTGGTTGAGAGGCTGGTGAGCACCTTGGCACCAGAGGAGGCAAGTCAGGGAAGGGGCTGGAGAGGATGTCCTCCAGGTTCCCTTTTTCATGTTTCTACCTGCGGGCCTGTCTGGTCCGACAGCATTGGCAGCCCTGGCAGCGCAGGTGGAATTGATTTTATGGTTCTGAGTTGGAACCACCCTCTGTGGTGGAGGGTAAGGTTTGGGGAAGAGGAGGGAGTGTCAGTCAACTTTGCCATAGCCTACTCTTCTTCAGTGTTCCTGATTCCACTGCAGTCTCTCTCTCTCTCTCTCTCTCTCTCTCTCTCTCTCTCTCTCTCTCCCTCTCTCTCTCTCTCGTGCTCAATTCTTACCTATTTTCTTTTTTTAAAAATGTTTTTATTGATTTTTAGAGAGAGAGGGAGAGGGAGAGAGAGAAAGATCAATGATGAGAGAGGAACATCTATTGGCTGCCTCCTGCACAGCCCCCACTAGGGATCAAGCCCGCAACCCAAGCATGTGCCCTGACTGGAACGGAACTGGTGACCTCTTGGTGCATGGGTTGATGCTCAACCACTGAGCAACACCGGCCAGGCAGCTCTTACCTATTTTCAAGACACCCACTGACCTGGCCATATTTCTGAGCTCTTACCTTCTCTGCACCCTTCACTGCAAGGCTCCATGTCCTCTAACCTGTGGAGTTCAGCCTCAGGAGCTACTGAATGAACTACCACCTGTCTCAGAGCCACAACTCAGAGGCCTTTTCCCAGGTTTTGCATCTTTGGCCACATTGGGCTGAAATGATTCCTGTAGCTCTCCTCCCTTCTCATTGGGACCCTGTGTTACTCTGACTTCCCTCCTACCTTCAGTTCTCTTTTCTGCCTCCCTCACTGGCTGGTCTTCTTTCTCCTGTTCCTAAGTTTAGATATTCCTCAAGATTCTCTCCTCAGGCTTTGCCTACACCCACCCTCCATGACCTCAACAATCCCTTCTCCACAGAGAACACCCACATTGCTATCTTTAGTGTTTGCTTTTGTCTACAGAGCTCCAGACCAACATTCTAAATAACTGCTGGTAATGGGCTCATTCATTCATTCAGTGTTTATATACACACCTGGAAAAGATGAATACTCCATGAAATATTGCATGGGCATTTCAAATTCAGAAAGTTTTAAACAGAATTTATTGCTTCTCCCTCAAAATATGTTCCTTCTCCAGCCTCCTCCTCTCCTGCCATCGGTACCATCTTCCTCCAGTTACTTGTACATACAATTGAGGAGTCTTCTCTAACAACTTTTCTTTTGCTTCCCAAGTCTAATCGGCTGCCAAGTTCTGTGGTTTTTACTCAGGCTGTGCTTCCTTAATCAATACCTGCTTTCTATCTCAATACTGATTTATCCTTTTATCACCTGTTACCAGGATTGCTGGGGGAGCCTCCTAACTGCCTTCACTTCCTCTAGAACAGGGGTCCTCAAACTTTTTAAACAGGGGGCCAGTTCACTGTCCCTCAGACCGTTGGAAGGCTGGACTATAGTTTAAAAATAACTATGAACAAATTCCTATGCACACTTGCACATATCTTATTTTGAAGTAAAAAAACAAAATGGGAACAAATACAATATTTGTATTTGCATGTGGCCCGTGGGCCGTAGTTTGAGGACCCCTGCTCTAGAATCTAGATTCTCTTTACCACTAGCCCATCCTTCATAATCAATATTACATTCATTTTTCTAAAGTACCACTCTAAACATACCACTTCTTTGCTCATTTGCTTACTTCTCAGTTTGGCATTCAAAGCCCTTATAACATAGCCCCAATCTAATTTCCTAGTCTTAGCTCTACAGTCCATTCTCCACTGCTTCAAAGTCCCACCCCTTCCCACCATGCTCATGGTGATGCCTCCCTTTCCCAATGTCCACTAGTAGCTTCAAGGGCCATCCAAATGCTACCTCAGTTATGAAGCATTTCCCAAAGGAAAGTGAATCCTGAAGCACTTTTGCACTTGGTGCTTGAATCCTGAAGCACTTTTGCACTAAGCTCTTTGCACATTCTATGGACTCTAATAATTATTTGTGTACTATATCTCCCCCCTCTCTAAAGGCCTTGAAAGCAGAGAAGTTTTTACTTTGTATGCCCTGTAGTGTGCAATGCCCAGCACACAGGTTTGCACTCAGCTGATGTCTCCTGAACTGCATTTAAAAGGAAAAAAAGACTCTTGCTTAGAGTCAATGGAAGCTGAGACTGAATTGGAAAGCTCATCTATTCCAACCCCTCATGTTTTCAGATGAGGAGATTAAAGGCACTGACTTGCTCAACACCACATCCTTGTTACTGGCTGGGCAATGATAACTTATATAAAAGCTCACAAATCTCTAACGATCTCTCAGTGCTTGCTCAGCACCAATAGGCCCAGCAGACCATCAGCATTGACCAGACAAGACAGACTCAGGGGTAGGGTAGTGAGTGCATTACCTGTAAAGATATGCTAGGGTCCAAAAAATAAAGAATTTTGCTTCACTTATTCACCTCAATAAACTGAACTCATAAATATCTTTTATAGTTAAATAATGTTTTAAAATTGAGGTGATTTAAAGTACAAGGAAGCAAACCTTGCTAACATTACCAGCAGAAACAATCACTACAATATTGCAGATACCATTGGGGCGATAAACTCAGGGTGAAAACCAGAATGAAGGAATTTCTCACGCTTTGCAAATGCAATGGGTTCAGCTGAAGTTCTTGGTGAGAACATGCTGCAGCAATTCTATGCTTAAATTTATGACCTTATGGAAACACAGGTTATTGGCAATTTTGCTATTATGCCACCTCAACGCTTTTTTCAATCTAGCTTTGCCCAGTATTTACAACTTTAAAGTTTTACTTATTTTCCCCCCAATAGATCACGAATTTACTTCTAGAAATAGGTTGATGACTCCTCCCGTGTCTAATTTCCTTCCCTTGTTCTCCTCTTGTGGTAGAAGAAACATTAATCGTTTAATCTCATCTTTATCCTCAAGCAGAGTGGTTTTCTCTCACCGGAGATGAGAAAGCCGAACCTAACACACTGTGGGGATAGCAGTGTTTTCCCAGGTTAGGAAATCTCAGTAGTTTTTCCAGGAGATCTCAGTAGTTTTTCCTTGGCCACAAAAACTCAGCCTTTAAATGGCAGCCTACAGAACTACAGGACTTCCTCTGACTCCCAGGTGAGTACTTTGCTCACCGCTACTCGCCAGAGGACAACTTGGCACTATTAATCACACTCTTTGCAGCCAGTACGGTAGATCCATGCTATGCACCGAAATGTCCATTAACTCTCCACACCCCAGGAGCCACATAAACAGTAAATGGGGCTCAAGAGCTCTTCATAGAGCTCTTCTTACTAAACCATCACATGGCTGGACAGGCCATCAACACTTCACCAGACAAGCCTTGTCTTTTCTCCCCTGGCAACTACATTAAAACGATAAGGGAAATCACTGATCGATATGTCTAGGACATTGCAGTGAAACATTGCCTGGAAGCCTACAAATCCATTGTGTAATTAGATGAGTGTACATTTTAAATATGCCTAGCATTTGATTTGAATTGTGCATTTTATAATTAAATGGAGACATAATCTCCCCGTTCCCTAATCCAACTCCTCTTTCTCAATCCTACATCCTGCTTTCATTTTTTTTTTGGCAAATTGTCACCTATCCCCTTCTTCTTTTTTCCCCTCATGCCTTAGCACACACCTGAGGGTCTATTAATCAGAATTACCACCTGCTGTGTCATGTTCTATTGCTTAAAGGGTGGTTCTCCTCTAAAAAAGACTCAGTGAAAATGACTTCATGAAGTTTAATATTTATTCTTTTTCAATGATTTCTATAACCAATGTAGTCACATTTTTTAAAGCAAAAGATAATTTTGAGAGGCTGCTGGGCCAATTTTGAGAGGCTGCTAGGGCCGCACATGCCTCCCATATCGGAAATACAGCTGTGCTCCTTGCCTCTTACATCATCCCTGTAATAGTCTGCTCTGGGAACCCAGCTGGCACAGCTCTCGCTGGTGTCAGAGGCAGGAGACTGGAGTCCTTTCCATTCCCGCCTGTGTTTCTGACATCTCTGCAGCTCGTCTTGGAAGCCCTTGGGGAACAGAGCTGTTATGTAACACACAGCCATATATTACTGTGAGGCACTTCCTGCAGAGGTCTTATTCCCATTCTTTAGAAACCACACCAAGTCATTCTAAAGTGACAGCTGGGGCCTTCATGACTAAAGCTTACAAAAATGATAATAGTAACAATAATACCTGCCATTTATTAGACCTCTAAATGTTGTCAAGGACCATGCCAGGCATTTTGATATGTAAATACATTCTCATTTGACCCTCACAGCAATGTCATCCTGTAGGTGTTGCCATAACTATTTCGCAGATGAGGAAAAGTGAGGCTCAGAGAGCTCAAATAACCATTCCAAGATTAGGAAGCTGTGTATAGTCAAACCAAGACCCCTCTGACTCTAAATCTGTGCTTTTTCCCACTATACAGTCACTGTTCCAACCCAGCAGGGACACGTTCTAGTTCCCACTGTGATCTCAGTGCAAGAAAGATGCTTATGCTGTTTCCATGATGACTCAGAGCCTCTGACAGAACTGAGAGCACAGACCTCCGGTGAAGGAACTCTTTCAGATACTGTCAATACATATGGCTTCTTCCTAGCTCCTCCTTATCAGAAGATGAAAAGTCTTCTCATCTACCTTACAGCGGTCTTCTCAAACTGGAATGGTGGAGGTGAATTCTGCATTTCTAAGGAGCTCCCAGGTGAGGCTGCTGACACTGGTCCGGGCACCACAGGTCTGGCATCTGACACTCGCCTTCCCACCTAGGGCTGTGTTTAAGGAGCAGGTCCAACTGAACAACTTGACTAACAGCTCGCAAGGCTCGACTGCCT